GGGCCCCCCTTTTTTTAAAAAAATCTTTTTTTTAATTTTTTTAATATATTTTTTTTATTTTTTTATTTTTTTTACGGAGAAAAGGGTTGCTAATGATCTGAAAAGCGGTCCTCAAGGATCTGAGACGGATGACACCTGCTCATCAGATCACGATGCTCAAGTTCATCAAGAACATGTCACAGTGCTCTGCGGTTTTGGATGCACTTCACTCGGCCGATGCGATTGATTTCTTGATCGATGTGCTGAGTCTCTCGATGAAGAAGGGACAGAAGCACTTCCGCGAGATCTCGAACCAAGTCCTCAACACCATGTTCAATCTTTGTCGACTAAGCAAAGAACGCCAAGAATATGCCGCCAGCAATGGGATTATTCCGCTACTCCTCAAAATCATGAAGACGGACCGCCCACCAAAGGAGTTTGTCCTGCCTATTCTCTGCGATATGGCACATTCCGGCAGCAAGGGGAGGAGGTATCTCTGGCAGAATCACGGATTGGAGTTTTACGTTACCCCTGCTGGCTGATCAGTACTGGCAAGTCACGGCGCTGGATGCGATCCATGTGTGGCTGCAGGAGGAGACGGCCAAGGTGGAGAGCCACTTGATGGATGGGATGTTTATGACGGCTATTGTGAGCTGTTTTAACCCTGCCAAGGCGAATGCTTTTGATCCGAACCTTTTGGAGCCGTTGCTCAAAGTCTTGAGGCTGAGTCCTGCCGTGGCGGCGAGTCTGGCCAAGGCGGAGATGTACGCCGGGATTGCCCAGAAGCTGGGGCATAAGAAGGCGGTGGTGAGGTTGAATCTGCTGAGGCTGGTGAGGAATATTATGGATGGGTGCGAGGCGCATAATTTGAGTATGTCGTCTAACAGCTCGTCCAACACGGGGAAGCAGTTGAGGGCGTTGTTTGATGATATTCAGGGGTTGGCGGATAAGGACCCGGCGGTGCTGGTTAGGAATTTGGCTGGGGAGCTGGTGAGGGCTCACTTTGGCAATGACCTGCAGCATGAGGCGCTGGCGTTGAGTGGGTTGGGGTTGGGGAACAGTGTTCAGGGGTCGATGGGGGGGTCGGTAGGAGGAGCGGGGGTGGGTGCGGGGAGGAGCAGGAGTGGGCCGAGGAGGAATACCAGTTATACGCCGCCTGGGGGCTTGCACTTGAGCGGTGGTGGTGGTGGGCCGCATACACCGACGGGGCATCGGGCTAGCCAGTCGAGCTCGAGTGCGGCGGCTTACATCGAGGTTGCGAATAGTACGCCGAAGAGGACGGTGGTGGGGTTGGCGCAGGATAGGGAGGCGGCGTTGTTTCGGCCGAGGAGTAGAGAAGGGGCCGTGGTGGCGACGAGCATACCTAGGAGGGTGAGCCAAGATGCCACGGCGGCCGGGTTGGCGATGAGTCCGTCTTCTGGGTCGGGGGTGAAGAGTCGGTTGCCGAGGACGAGCCATTCGCATTTTACAAGGCCGAGCTTGTCGACTGCGGCGTCGATGCCTATTACCGCTACGAGGGCAGAGAGGAGTGATTCTTCTCTTAGCAGTCGGGAGCACGTCATGGGCCGGTTACGATCTGGATCGTCGATCTCCATCACGGGAGCGTCGCAGTACTCTGCCAGCCCGACAAGCTCTAGCTTTTTATCAGCAGCGGGTTTCAATCTTGTGAACCCGAGCAGTTCCAACAGACCGAGCAGTAGCTCTGCCGCGTTTGGGCACCAAGCCAGAAGGGATAGTCACTCCCAGAGCCGGAGTTATTTTAGCCAGAGTGCCCGGCAAGACAGCAGCAGCAGTGAGAGGTTCAGCCAGTCTGCGAGGCAGGACGGTGCTGATAGGTTAGGGGAGAGGCTGGAAAGGATAGAGAGGGAGCGGGATGCCAGTGGGGGGAGCGGATCGACTAGTTTGTCTACTGGGAGCAGCGGGACGACGGCTACGACGGCCACGTCTGGACAGAGCGGGAATAAAGTCAGGAGGGCGAGGGCGCCGAGTTCGATTTCGAGGATGGAGTCGGTTTCGGATGTGAACCTGCCGGCTGGGGGACGGGATGGGGGGGATAATAAGGGGAGGTGGCCTTAGAAAGGTGACTCGCCGATGAAGAAGAGGGTGTATCATGAGGTGGTGGATGATGGGGGGGCTGGGGGGAGCGGGTTGAGTCCGTCGCCTGCTAAGACTGCTGGTGGTGGTGGTGGTTGTGCAGGTGGAAGAAGTCAACACCAGCTGTTGCAGCAGAGGCTGCATCACCAGCAGTATCTGTTGCATCAGAGGCAGAGGGGGAGGATCCCGGATCCTGGGACACCCGGGGTTGGTGTTGGTGGGAGTGGTGGGAGTGGTGGGAGTATGCTGCCGCCGGCACCACCCCCGTCACCTGTTACGCCTGATACGGGGTCTGTGGTGGAGGGGGGAGGGGCCAGCACGGTTATTATCCATCGGACGGGTGCTGCTCCTGGTGATGGGGAGGAGGGAATGGAGACGGTGGTGGTTCATAGTCCTGTTGCTGCTGCTGCTGCTGCTGCTGCCGCTGCTGCTCCTGCTCCTGCTCCGGTCCCAACTCCTGTAACGGCACCAACTCCTGCTATTAGGCCCGCGCATGTTTCTCTGGAGCCAGCTACTCCCTCCCGACCTACCAGTCCTACTCGACCCACCATTCCTGCTCCTATCCCAGCAACCCCTAGCCCAGCTACTCCCGCCACGCCAGCCAGTGCGGGAAGGTATACGTCACGAATCAGCGCCATGCTGAGTAGTAGTCCACAAAGGGAACACCGACAGGGAGTCTTGGGCCTGTTGCAGCTACAAGAGCGACCCAGGAGGGGGATGCGGGTTGCTGGATTGAAGGCGGTGTCTAAAGCTAGGGAGAACATCCTGCCTGGTATGAATGAGTAAAGGGGAAGGATAACGGTGGTGGGGCACAAGATGGGAAGGGGCGGGAGAGGGTTCAAAAACCAAAAAAAAACTAGGAAACTAGGGAAAGGCGTAGAGAGATAGGATAAGGTTTTTTTTCTTCATTTTTTTTGTTATTATAGGGTATATAAAGGGTTGTAATGAATAGGGTGTGGTTTGATGAATCATGTTTTGTCTGGGCGATTGGGGTGTTTGGGGGTTGTATATAACTTGCTGCGGTGTGTGACACGTGGAAAAGGGTAGAAATATTGGATAGGTAGTGATTAAAAGGTGGTTTTGAGTGTTTTATCAAAACATGGATGAATTATCTACCGGTGACGAGATTCATCTCTTGGACCAGGACTTTGACACAAAAGCGAAGATATTGTTTTATATATTTTTATTTATTTTTTATTTATTATTCTGTTTTCTTCCCATCTCCAGGTCTATTTCGCTTCATCTACCTGACCCCTTTACCACCTCCCCAACCCCCTTCTCCTGTAATTCCCTCCCTCCATCTGTCTCCGGTACCTCGACCTTGTCATCCTCAACCGCCAGTTCCTTTTGCCATGCAGGCTTATTCTTCTTTTTTCCGGCATTCTCCTCCCCTCCCTGACTCTTATACTGGTACCCCCTCATCCTCGGCCTCTCCCCCACCCCCGCGGGCATCTCGCTGTCGTACGCCCTGCTGAAACTCAACCTCTCGTCTTCAAAGGTGGCATCCTTGATCGACCGCTGGATCCCGCCGAAAAAGGCGGACATGGTCGCGTGGTTGTGGATTTGGAGGAGTGTCCAGCCTAGCATCTCGCGTGCTTGGAGGAGGTGGTGGATGTAGGATTTGTGGTGGCTTTTGCAGGCGTAGAGGCTGCAGGACTTGGAGAGGGGGGTGACGGATGTGCTGAAAGAGGGGAGGGAGAGGTCGACTGCCAATGGAAGGGGGGGGCTCCCAGATGAGGGAGGGGCGGGGAAGGTGAAGTTTAGGGCTAAACCAGCGTCGGATACGGCGTTTATCAACGGGAGGGCGAAGAGGTCTGTTCCGTGGGCTATGTGACGGAGGATGAGGGTGGGGGTTGCTCGGGTTGGAAAGCGACAAAAGGGGGAGGGACAAGAGGGAGGGTTGGTGAGTGGCAAGATCGGGGATGATATCCGGGTCGTGGACTGCCAACCCGGAGAGTTGGGACGAGGGGATGTAGTCTTCTGCCAGGCGGGAGAGGTATTCCCACTGGATTGGGTAGGGGATTGGCAGGACTGGGGCGAAGGTTGATGTGGAGGTGGAGAGGGGGGAGGAGAACCAGTCTGCTATCCACTCGTCCGTGCGCTCGGCCATACGGAGGGCTCGTTTGCTTGTTGGGGAGGTGCCTGGGGGGGAGTTGTTGGTTAGGTCGGCTAGGGGGATGGTGATGTCTGGTTCGAGGGTGGAGGCGGCGGAGAGGTAGTCGGTTGTGGAGAGGTTTTGGAAGCCAGTGTTGGTGAAGACGGAGATGGATTTGGTGGAGTTGCCTATCGGGGAGGGGACGGCGGGGAGGCGGCGGGCGGCGAGGATGGTGGTTATGTGGGAGGGGGTGCCGGTGAAGCTGTATAAGGGGGTGGGGTGGTTGGTGCTGGTCGGGGCGCTGAAGATGGGTGGTGGGCGGGAGAGGTTTTGCTGGGACTTTTCGACGACTTGGTGGGGGGTTAATGAGTGGTTTTTGATAGAGCATGAGGGGGGAACACTGACAGTCTTCGAGGGAAAAGTATGCACCGCTCACTTGCAGGTGCTTGCTGATATTGTCAGGGGTGACATGAGGCAGAGTGCCGCGTGAAGTGACGGCGATGAAGTTTGGAGTGTCGATGGGACGACGTCCCGGAAGAGCCAGACGACCGACTCTGGCAGCAGCTGCTGTGCCCTCCTTGAGAGCCGAGGACACTACTTCAAACCTCATGGCTGTCGACTCGGGTTCTTGTGGCTCGGTATCAACCGTCATTTTGCGAGTTTTGCAGTTGATGGTTGTATGAGCGAGCTTGGACCGCAAGTCTTTCCTGAACTGAGTGAAAATCAAATCCTTGACAGCGTCTGACCCAGCAGACTGGTAACGATGATCCTGGTACTTCAGGCAACACAACTCGAGATATCAATCAAGCTCTGTCTTGCTCGAAGATGTTAGTACTTTCTCTCCTTCATTTATTATGTCAACGATTAACTCACGAATCAATTTCAAACACCCACTGACGGCTCTCATGCTGCCCCTCGATGCCAAGCACACAGTCGCCCAAAGTGGAAACCTTGGGGTCAAACGGTTTTGTTTCTATCGGGGCTGATGCACCCGCTAATGAGATATCCACTGGGGTCGCAAGTCTGTGTTTACGTCAGGCAGCGGCTAGGGTCCCCGCATTCAGCCCTGCCTACAGGGGGACAGGAACAGGGCAGCGTGTGCCAGCGTTGCGCTAAAAAGCCAGTTGAGACGGGCGCGGGCTTCTCGGAGTTCGGACGGTTGTTCATGGCATTTGTTGTTTGTCATTGCTTATCCCGATATGTCCTTGGCTATGCTCCCCCTCCTCTGCCGTCCCTAGTTGTTTTCTGCCTCGTTGTATTTTTTCCTTCTTTGAGTTCCTAAATTCAATCGCTCGTTTACCCTGCCCGTCCGTCCCTCTTTGTTGTGTCTTGTTTGCTGTTGTCCTTGGGCCGTAGGTGGGTAAAACAATGGGCGAGACAAACGATATCGAAAGAGAAGCAGGTGTGAACGGCGACTCTTCCGGTACCACGTCCACCGCTGCCTCGAGCAATGCCAACATCCTTATCGTCGACAACAACCACCCCGATGCGCCTATCCGAGAAGCCCGGAATGCAGACGAGGCTGACAGCTCCCCACCAACACCACGGTTTATCCAAGACGAAAATTCGTGGAAACGGTTCAAGTGGGTTCCGTACCCGGTGCGCCGGTGGATAAAGGCTGGTGTCGAATGGACCGAGGGGCCTGCTGTACCTCGACGGTTCCGGATCGAACCGCTGTTCCCCCAGGTACAGCAGTTCCCGATTGTGTTACTGGATAGGTACCTACCCAACAAACTCCACAGAGCCGCGCTTGTGCTCGTCTTGTATGTCGTCTGGATCGTATCCTTTACTTTTACGCTCAAAAACGGGCAATCGGTGAGCGAGATTGCAGAATGGGGAAGACTGGTCAAGATTGGTTGCGGCTCGACCTACTGGATCGCAGGTAACGGCTGTGGCCTGGACGGCATCGACTGCAGACCGTTTGATGATGGGGGTTTCCCGTTCAGGTGCCCAGGCAACTGTGGGAGTTACCAGGTGTTGAATCCCCGGGCGGTTGGCGATCAAGAAGTCATCTACAAGCCACTGGTCGTCGGCGGGCCTCCTGCTGATGGAGACGGACCGGCCATCTACAGAGGCGATTCCTTCATCTGCGGCTCTGCCATCCATGCGGGCGTCATCTCGGACGCCACAGGCGGTTGTGGTGTCGTCCGCCTGGTGGGACTCCAATCCAACTACAACAGCACCAAGCGCAACGGCATCACCTCGGTCCCCTTCGACTCCTACTTCCCCCTCAGCTTCACCTTCGAACCCGACGTCGAATGCTCCTCCCGTGACCCCCGCTGGTCCCTCCTCGCCATCTCGGTCGTTTTCACGACAGTCTTCTCCCTCTTCGTCAGCCACCCAGGCCTCTTCTTCTTCACCCAATTCAGCGGCCTGTTCTGGACAGTCGGGATGGCAATGGACACTCCTAATTACACCGACCTTGCCTCCCTCTTCTCCCGCGAAATCGGCCTCTACCTCCCGGCCATGTTCGTCGCCTGGGTGATGTACGACAAGATGGGCATCCGGCGCACCCTCAAAGGCCTGACCGCCAACTTGGAAAAGACGATCCTCTGGCTCGGCGGCGCGTGGGTTGGGTCGTTGACAAACTACACCTTTGACTTCATCCCCATCCAGCGGCTCAACAGCCACGACATAAACCAACAACCCGGTGCCCGCGCCGCTTTGGCAATCATCATCATCGTCCTCTTCTTTGCTGTGGTCTTCCAGATCTGGTTTTTCAGGCAAGAAGCAAGGTTGAGGTCTCATCTCAAACTGTACGGGTTGTTTGCTGTTTGCTTGATTATTTTCTTGCTGCTGCCGGGTCAGAACTTGCGTATTCATCATTACATCCTCGCGCTTTTGCTCCTGCCGGGCACCTCGCTTCAGACTCGCCCGTCGTTGTTGTTTCAGGGTCTTTTGCTGGGGTTGTTTATCAACGGGATCGCGAGATGGGGGTTCGATCCGGTTTTGCAGACTGCGCTCGCTCTGAGGGGGGATGCGCCGGTTCAGTCGCCTCTTCCGGTGATTGATGAGCCGAAGATTTCTCCCAACACCAGCATAACCTTCTCATGGGAGGCACCGCCCGCCCCGTCATACGATGGCATCAGCGTGTTGGTCAATGACGTGGAGAGGTTTAGGACATATTTTGATGATGGCAACTCTGCGCCCGGGGCTGGGAGCAGTGGGGTGGTGTCGAATGTTACGTGGACACGGCCGAAGGGGTTGGTGAAGGACGAGCCGGAATACTTTCGTTTTGCGTGGGTTTCGGGGGGGACGAGGGGCGATTACACCAAGGCGGGGAGGTGGGATGGCGGGGAGGGGTGGGAGGAGATGAAGGCCGGACCTTCCCTTAGGGTGAGGGACGAGGTTGGTGGGAGGGAGGGGCAGGGGATGGAGGAGGCGAGGGAGGTTATGATGGTTGATCTGAGGAAGAGGGGGGTTTGAGGATTGGTGTGGGAAGAAAAATGGGGGGGAAATGAGGAGAGGGAAACACGTATAGCGAGGGTTGGCTAGCATGTGGTTTTTGGTTTTGGCGTTTTTCTTTGCTGCTGTGTGAAAGGATGTAGGATTGCTGTAGATACCCACTCTCTTTTTTCTCTTAGACTGTTTGTAAGGGGGGAGTATTTGTTTTTCGACAGAGTTGATTTAAGCGAAATATGGGCGGCCAAAGAAGGGGGGGGGGGGCTGGAGGGGAATAGCTTTGAACTTGAAAAGAAGAGTAGATTATATGTGTAAATTTCAATACTAAGTTTACCTATGTATGTGCTCTCCTGACATGTTTACGAATTCCATGAAATTCCTTTTTGAAAGACATACAAGCACCCATCATCATCATCATCATCATCATCATCATCATCATCGTAAGTACCTAACTTGGGCATGAAAACGCCCTTTCAACACACAAAGAATCAACTACACGAACTCGCTCGCTCATTACACCCCTTCCTGTCTTTGATGACTCCAGCAATCCCATGAATCCGAGGACCCAACATCAAAGCATCAAAACCACCAAACATCAAAAAGCAAACACGCAAAAATAATCCAATAAACATGTAACTCTTCCAAAAAAAAAAACAAAAAAAAACCCCAACCCAAAAATGTCGAAAAAAGGCATTAACGATTACAACAAGAGATAAATCCCACTATAACTCGCCCGCTTTTGCTTTCGCCTGCTTCCTGCTGTGCAAAAATGAGAAAGCAACAACAGAAAACACAAACTCAAAGCAAACAAATTTTGAACCCTCCATCCCACCCTCCTTTCCATCCTTTTTCCTTTCACATCACCAACCCCAGGTATTCCCTTTCGTCCGTCCGTCCGTCCCGTCCTTATCCTACCAAAGGTATCGGATATCCTATCCCATACCCGTATCCATACCCATCCTAACCCAAATCATCGTTCGTCCCGTATCATCAATTCTTTCATTCTTCAGGATTAGACTTCAAACCTCATCCCACCTGTTCATCCCATCCCCCTTCAACCGTGCCCGAGGTAGCGGCCACGTGTCACCTGCCCGCAATGATGCATCTACCCGACAACCTGCAATGCAACTGCAGCTCCAAACAACCAACCCATCGGGCACTGTTCACGCATCCCCTTAAAAGACGTACTAACATCCGGTCAGCATCAACCCCCTTTCCAACCCCAGATTCGCAGAATGAGTGTCAAACTTACCGGAATAAACAAATAAGGCACCTGCCTCTCATACTCCTTCCAAGCCTCCCCATACTTCTCCCTGCACCGGTGAATATCCCTCCACGCCCTGTGCGCAATCATAATCGTAAAGAAAACCCCATAAAACCACGGGAACGGGCTCTCAAACCCAGTAATCAACCCCCAGCTCAGCGCAAAAAACGTATCACAGCTATAGTGAATCTTTCTCGCCTTGCCGTACCACCCATCCGCCAAAATCTTGTCCCCCAACCCCGTCTCGATAACCTTGGGGTTCTTCACCACCTGCCACGGCAGCTGGGGGAACGTCTTGCGCTTCACCAGCTTGCCCTTCTCGATGGCCCTGAAGGCGTTCTTCTGGCTGTTGGTCGTGTCCCAGACCCAGTACACAAACAGGTACGCCACATAGAGCGCGACTAGGAAATACCTGTTCCACCTGTACGTCGAAGGGTCGTGGTTGGCGAGATACAAGGTGCAGTGGCAGTACGACAGGGGAACACCGGACAGGTTCCAGAAGATCAACATAAAGCCCCACTTCTCATAGTACATGTCCCATGAAGAAACAATCAGCTCCTCGCCCTTGGAAGTAGCATTGCCGTAAAGGTAGTGAGCGAGCACCAGGAAGCCGACTTCTCCAGAGACATATCCGTACTGGTCCCACTGGCGGGCCGCGGCGGCGCACGACAGGAGGAACAAGATGTACCAGGGCATGCGCACCTCAAAGAACATCTTGAAGTCGAGAATGCCAAACATGCGGGGGTTGAGCTCGGCGCCCATGAAGAAGTCGTAGATGTGGTTGCCAGACATGCGGTGCTGGGCGCCGCGGTAGAGGGCCGAGAAGTAGGCGATGAACGAGACCAGCCAGCCGCTAAAGATGGACACGCTGAGCAGGGGACCAAACTCGTCGAGGATGGTGTACAGTGGGAAGATGCCGGAAAAGTGAAGGCCGGCAACGAGGGCGATGGTGGTGTAGAACGAGGCATAGGCCGAGCAGTAGTACCTGAGCTGCTCGCCGTTCTTGTGAGGAAGGGGCTTGCCGTAAGCCCAGACACCGGGCATCAGGCAGTACATGGCACCCTCCACAACGAAAAAGATCCAATAAATGGCCCAAGCCTTGGCATGGGGGAACGCGCCAGTGTAGCAGAGATTGTAAAGGTGCTTGCCAAAGTCGGTCCAGGACTGACCAGCCTCCGGGAGGGGGAGCTTGCCGTCATAGTACTCGGCACCGATCCACATGTACCACATGAGAAGAGGGAATCCGATCATCATGACAGACACGAACCAAGGCCCACCAAACTCGTACTCGCCCGAGAGGTCAACCTTGGGGTCCATACCGGGCTTCCACCCGTCGACAATCTTCTCCTCCTTCTCGGCGGCGCCATTGGTCTTGACCTTCTTGTCGAGGAGGGGCTTGGAGTAGTCGCTCTCGGGGGTGGTGGGGGCCGTAGGGACCTCATCCGCCTCGTCGACGTGCTCGGTGAACTTGGCGACGCCACGCTGGCGCACAGATTTGGTGGCCATGCTGGCAACCGTCTCGGAGGCTGAGGTAGACTCGGCGTCGGATTCCGCGATAGAGGGCTGATTCTTGCGACGGGTGTTGCGGCGAGCAGGCGTTTCTACCATGCCATCAAACAGTTCTTTTTTCCTGCTCCATACTGTCAGCAACCCCATTCATCACCGACCAAGTGCTGTAGAGGGGTGTGGCATGATCTCGGCGCATTCCAGCCGGCCACACCGCAAAAGGGGAGGTTGATTCCCCTAGGTGGGTGTAAACACGATAAACGCGACACCAGTTTGCGCCAGAGACCACCACCACCACCAAGTAAACAGGTGGCAAAGTTGGGCAACAGTAGTGTAAACAAAAAAAAAACAAAAAAAGTATCAACTCACCTCGGCGTCTGCCTCAGAGAATATCTAGTCCCAGAAGACATCTTGACCACAACGCGACGGGGCAGGCGCGCGCAGTCTTATATACTTTTCAAGCGTAATCGTACTTGGGGGTCAAAACCGACAACAGCAACAAAAAGAAAAAAGATCGGAAATTGTGTGAAAGCAAAGCAACAAGCTCACACCCACCACACACAACAACACCCCTGTCGTTTAGGTTGATCTGGATACTAGTATTCCCTAGTCGAGGTGTGGAGCAAGCAGCAGCGCGTACAGGGTGCGCGGAGTGTAACCGTAAGAATATGATTCGATATGATGGTAGGTGGCGGGCGCAAGAGAGAGGCGAGGTAAACTAGGACACCTAGGTATGAAGAAGAAGGGGAAAAAAAAGAACACTGCGCCTTGAGGTCGAAAAGGGGGAGGGGAAACGCGACAAGGAGCGGGATCGAGAGAAAAAAACAGCCCCCAAAAATCGTTGTACACGGTAGGTACAAAAAGACATCCGACAAGGGCCAAGACTCGCTGCTGCTCGCTACTGCTGCTGTGTCTCTTTGCTGGCACACTGCAACGACATTCCCGACCCATGTCTCTCTCTCTCTCTCGCTCTCTCACCCGCCGGCCGAGAAAGCAGCGAGCTCCCATCTGCGCGAAACAATTGGCAGGATCACAGCAGAAATAGCGGGGAATCTAACCCGGCTGAACAAACCCAATTGACCACTCGGCAGTTCCCGCGTCCCCTTGCATGACACTGTCCGAGCCACAATCTGTCAGTATTCCAGCCATCCAGCCTCCTTCGTGGCTGGTGCGGCACCCAACACGGCGGAATACTAGTATTACCTAATACCACCGTCGCATTTGTTGGTCCCTTAAGCGTTTGCGTTGTCACATTCTCCACCTGCACCTTGAACGAACATCGCATCATCACAATGGGAACGTTTTGCGAATGCGATCCTTCCTTCACCTGGGGCTGAAGATCGATCCATCTCAAAACAAGACATCAACTGCCGAAATACTAGTATTCGGAGTCGTCCGGAGTCTACGGGAAGGTTTGGGTTCCCGTCGGCAGGGTCCTAGCCACGACAACTTCAGATGGCTCAAAACCGATCTGATATATAATTACCAAGACAAAGCATTGACTGTCTATTTGCCCATCTTCTCATCGTCCAGCAATTCTCTCCAGGATCACCCTGTCCGTCAATGACCAAACACACCTCTTCTGTATTTGTTCCTCGTTGGCCCATTATGAATCACTTGTCTCGAGGGAACTTTCTCATGTCCCTATAAAACCCTGAGAGTGAAAATGCACGAGTACAAGAGACTTATACCGCCCAGTTCGAGGTTTAATGTCTCCTACATTACACATATATATATACACACTGAAGCGGGAAAACCATGAGCAGAGGTCTCCTCGTACGTTATTCATAGTCAACCAAAAAAGAAGTTGCCACATCCTCCCTCCCCACATCACATCACCCGATCCTGTCTGCTGTAAACTGAAGTTGACACACCTTCCCTCCACATTACATTACATTACATTACATCACCCAATCCTGTCTGCAGTACAGACATACAGTCAAAACATCAAAAAAGTGATCGTAGATCGGGAATTGAGCCCGACGTGGGGGTCGAACCCACAACCTTGAGATTTCGGAGTACTCCTTAAGAGTCTCACGCTCTACCGATTGAGCTAGCCGGGCGAGGCTATTTTGGGTTGTGTAGTGGTGAGAGAAATTCAGCTTTTGTGGAGAAGGAGGAGGAGGTGGTGGTGGTGGTGGAGTGACTCGGAACAAAACCTTTTGCTGGCTGTCACATGTCTGTGGGGACAACACCAACAAGTCAGACAAGATAGCCCATGATAGTAAGGGGAAAGCCTGGTTGACCACCCAACCTCCCATCAAGCACCTGAACAGTGATGTTGCAACAAGTGTTGACAAGGACAGAGTAGCGATACCTCTCAATGATTTAAACGGAACCAAACGCGGTCCAGAAACACCGTGCCAGGGTCAGAAAACAACTCCCAACACAATCTTCTCAAAAACACTTACCATGACAACACACACACAGCCAGCCACCTTGCAACGTCACACATAAACCAAAGAGAAACACACAGATAGCAAAGAACACCATTCCAACCTAAACTACAGTCTTTGCCCATCATCCGTCTATGATGAGAAAAAGAAAACCAGACCCCGCGAGTGTGATAAAGCAACCATAATGAGACAATAGTACATGTACGTTCCGAGTTGCCACCAAACCATTAACCGTTCCAATCGTCGAGATGCGCCGCTCGCTCAACCCCCAAATAATGTATACCAATCATCATCTCCGCCATGTCATGACAACCCCGGATGTACCCCCATCTCGGAGCCCGTTACAGGGACGAGACGAGGCGATGTGTGGATGTGTGGTCCGCGTTGAGATGTGGATTTGCTGCAATAAACCATCTTGTCCGTCCACATCGGCCCGCGGCGAGAACCAAAAGAGACGCTCAGGCGCAGACAGTGTTGATGGTGGCCTTCGAGTTCATGAGAAGAGCAACAATCAAGCCGTACAGACCTGCATGTCGTTAGTGCTTGCTGCGGCGCATGCATGACAGACACAAACTTACCCAAGACTTCAGCGAAAATGAGAATGAGAATCATGCCGACGAACAGTCTCGGTTGTTGAGCAGTACCGCGGACACCTGCGTCACCAACGATACCGATAGCGAAACCAGCAGCCATGCCGGCGAGACCGACAGAGAGACCAGCGCCGAGCTGTACGAAACCGGTGTAGAGAGCGTAGGAGTCTTGTGTGAGAGCATCGGAAATCAAGACAGACACGACGAGACCGTAGATACCAATGATACCAGCCATGATGACGGGAACAATGTCTAGAGAAAGGTTTAGTCAAGCATCCCTTGACTTGGGAAGGGGTGCAACATACTCTTGACGATGAGATCAGGACGGAGAACACCCATGGCGGCGATACCGACACCGGACTTTGCGGTACCGTACGAGGCACCCAGGCAGGTGAAGACAATGGCCGCAGTGCAGCCCATGGCACCGAAGAAGGGCTGTTACGGCATGTTAGTATGTATATGTTGATATCGGTATGGAGTCGAAGCGAGGTGTATTCGCCGACGCCACAGAGCTGATGTTGGTTTCAACGGGGTGGAGCGAGGGTACTAACCGCGTAGACGGGGCTGTAGACAAAAAGCATGTTAGCAAAGCCATTCAAGAAGAAGGCATCGCAGCAGATGCGCAAAGCCAATGCATGGTGCTGAAGAGGGGGTTGTGTTTGTGGTGGTGGTCGACGAGTAGCGAGCGGATAGCTCCAGCCTCCGCGTATGTGTGTTGTGGTTGTGGTGGTTGGAAGTGTGAGGGGACACCCCCCGGGCTAGCGGCTTACCAGAGATCCGACATTGTGGTTGTTTAAGCACGAAGCTGTATCGACTGAGGGAAGATTCGAAAATAAAAGGCTCGAACGCGATGGAAGCGTGGTTGCGATGCGTTTGTTGACTGAAGTCGGCGGGCAGCGGTTGAAGGCGAGTTGCTGTGGATGGGGGGATGACGGTTCCAAGTTGTTGGCTGGTGTTTGCTGGACGAGGTGTTTCCAGGTTGCAGGTTGGTTGGCTGTGCATCGGCTGGGCAAAGCTTTGCTTCGGCAGGCCCCAGCGAGCTTTGCCTTAGGTAAGCGTTGTCACCGTGTCGCTGTCGCCGTGCCACCGTGCCACAACTGCCCGGCAGAAACCCCACACCGCCCAAACTCTCGGCTGGGTGGTGGTGGGCAGGCGCAAACACATGGATGAATTTTTTCGCAGGCGCATTTTTGATTTTTGAGATCTTCTCTTTCTTCTGCATCGTTCACGTCGCAATCCCCAGCAACATCCCCTAGCACCCCCAGGGCGAGCAAACCTGCAGTGAACCCTGGAGACGATCGGAAACAGAAGCACACACTATCGCTATCCATTTCCACACCGACAATGTCTGGTCAAAACGACTCTGCCGCCTGGCCCAAGGCCGAGGACCCTGCTCTCGTCCAGGAGCTTCTCGACTGCGTCCAGCAGGCCAGCCACTACAGGCAGCTCAAGAAGGGCGCCAACGAGGCCACCAAGTCCATCAACCGCGGCACCAGCGAGCTTGTCATCCTTGCCGCCGACACTGCTCCCCTCAGCATTGTCCTCCACATTCCCTTGATCTCTGAGGAGAAGAACGTGCCCTACGTTTACGTGCCCAGCAAGATTGCTCTGGTATGTTTTTGTCTGTCAAGTTCTGAAGACGCAGTATAACTAATGACTCCTACAGGGTCGTGCCTGCGGTGTCTCCCGCGCCGTGATCGCCGTCTCCCTCACCTCCAACGAGGCTTCCGACCTCAACTCCAAGATCCGCGCCCTCCGCGACAAGGTCGAGAGACTTGCTATGTAAAGTAGCAATTTTTGCGGTTGGCTAAAGCGAGAGAGGAAAAAAAGAAGAAAAAAAAGGGAAAATCCGAGGATGGTTTATACTATTGGATGGATGGACAGAAATGGATGAAAAACAAACTGAGATATGTTGCTTTTATCTATATCCCCAACGTCATTTTTGTGAGCGTTGGGGTTGCTACATCAACTGGCAGACGTTTTCTGCAGTAGCCTTCCTTCTAGAAAATCAAAACTTCATCGTCATCAGGGCCTTTTCTTTTTGCGTTGTGTATCTATCGGTCTTTACCGTTTCACGTTTGAGTTGGGGTGGCTGGTATTTGATTTTGGATTTAGATACAGCTAGGGTTGGGGTTGGGTGTGGAGTGTGTGTAATTCATTATTCATTGGGTCGTCTGACGTGGGGGGGGGGGCTGCTTCTGCACAGTGACGCTCTTTGGCTGCGCAACTGGCGCTGGCGTGGGGCCCCACCATGCCCATTTAAAAGACATCATCACTCTCACACCTGCCAGCCCAAGTTCGAGACCCTCCCCCCGTGCCCCTCAAGGTTGTTGGCCTTCTTTTGCTCAAGTCTCAAGTGATCACGGGACCAGCCAGTTATTGATTCGTGTGACTTGTTCGAGCATTTTCAACCTTTAGGAACGACGACAACGGTATGAGAGCTTACATCGATCAGCTCATGGACCCAACAGCAACATTTTGCGTCATAGCTTACACTTACACTGCATTCCAAGCTGCCTGCCCCTTTTTCTAGCCTGAACCCCTTCTGCATAAACTTTTTTTTTATACATGTAAGACATACCGACCTCGGATCATTTACAGCAGGGAACACAGAAACAACGAAAAATGCCCGGCCTAGCCCGCAAGGTCCTCGTCGCCGCGGCGGTCGACGGCCTGCTTCTTCACCCTTTGAACCCTGTCCCCTCCAAAGACGGGAGTCGGCCCCCGCCGTTGCCGCTGGTGAAGATCAAGTATGGGAGTAATGTTTCTGTTTCGACCGTCGGGAGGGATCACGCACCGCCAGCGACGAGCGAGAGTTTTGAGGCTTATGGGGTTGTTGGTTTGTCTCTTTCCCGCCCCACCATCTTTCCGGTACATGATGTTGACGCAGTGGGTGGGATGATCATACAGGCATAATAACAGTGTTTCACTACTCCTACCTCATCACCGTCACCCGAAGGCAGCAGGTCGCTAATTTGTTTGGTCGCCACCCCATCTACGTCGTCACCGAAGTCGCTTTGACACCCCTCACCTCCCGGCAGGAAGCGGCGGATTCGATTGGGAAGACGGCGCTGGCGTTGAAGAACAGGCTGCAGAAGGAGGGGAGCACAAGCCAGTCTACCAGCGGTGACGAAGAAACGGGGGGGTTAGGGATTGATGAACTGCCCCGTGACGACGCGGTCGAGTCAGCAACGGAGGACGACGCCATCACTCCTCCTGAGAATACGAGCAGCAGTAGTATTGCGAAGGATGTGATTAGCAGACGGGGGAGTTATGGCCGTTTTGCGCAGAGGTGGTTTTCCCGCTCCGGGTGGGCGGCGGAGAACAAAAGGCAGATGGGCCTTACGCCCGACTCTGGCACTCCTCCTGCCCAGCAGAATAGGGCGAGCAATAAGAACGTGCCGACGAGGTTTCAGATCCCGGATGGGGCGGATGGGAGCGAGGCTGCGATTGAGTTGTTGCCCAAGTTGCTGAGGACGGCACAGATACTGTTTGGGAGTAGCAGGACGTTCTTCTTTGGGTATGATGTTGATGTTACGAGGAGGTTGGCGGATGGGGGGTTGAGAGGGCTGGGGTAGGGGGTGGAGGGGGAGTATTTCTGGAATGGGCACATCATGAGACGGTTCAGGGAGGCGGGGGTGGAGGGGGTGGTTTTGCCGCTGATGCAGGGGTTTGTAGGGGAGAGGGAGTTTACGGTGGACGAGAGCCCGGCTCAGGAGGATGAGGGGGAAAAGGGGGGAGAGGAGAGTGTGGAGATGAGGGATCTGTCGCCTTCGGAGGAGAAACGGGAGGGGGAGGGGGGGGGATTGGGCGGGAAGAAGGGGGGTACGGAGAGGAAGTTTGTTATCACGGTGATAAGCAGGAGGAGTATAAAACGGGCGGGGTTGAGGTATTTGCGTCGGGGGATTGACGAGCAGGGATGGGTGGCGAATGGGGTCGAGACGGAGCAGATTTTGTATGAGGCTGATGGGGGGGATAAGGGGAGGGTGTATAGTTTTGCGCAAGTCAGGGGGAGTTTCCCGGTGTTTTTTACTCAGAGTCCGTATTCGTTGAAGCCGACGCCGGTGTTGCAGCATAGTCAGGAGGCGAACTTTGCGGCGTTGAGGAAGCATTTCGGACGGTTGGGGGAGCGGTACGGGGGGTTGGAGGTGGTGAATTTGGTGGAGAAACATGGGGTCGAGGCACCGATTGGGGAGGTTTACGAACGGGGCGTGGAGAGGTTGAACGAGGAGTTGGTGAAGGAGGGAAAGGAAAAGATTGGGTTCGAGTGGTTTGATTTTCACTCGGTGTGCAGGGGGATGAAGTTTGAGAATGTGAGCGTGTTGTTGGGGATTTTGGGCGGGAGGCTGGAGGAGCTGGGGAGTAGTGTTGTGGTGGATGGGGTTGTGGAGCGAAGACAAAAGGGGGTGTTGAGGACGAATTGTATGGATTGTTTGGATCGGACGAATGTTTGTCAGAGCTCGTTTGGGAAGTTTATGCTGGATTTGCAGCTGAGGGAGGAGGGGATTGATATGGAAAAGCAAAAAGATCAGGAGAATAGCTGGTTTAATGGGTTGTGGGCGGATAATGGGGATGCGATCGGGAAGCAGTATGCGGGGACCGGGGCGATGAAGGGGGATTATACGAGGACGAGGAAGAGGAATTATAGGGGGGCGTTGACGGATGCTGGGTTGAGCTTGACGAGGTTGTTTAATGGGTATGTTTCTGCATTGATCCCGACTGTGGGTTGCTGGGTTGCTAACAGTGTGGCAGGATGTTTAACGACTTTTTTCTCCAAGCCAGCATCGATTTTTTGTTGGGGAACGTCACCTCCCTTGTGTTTGAAGAGTTTGAAGCAAACATGATGACCAAGGACCCGGCGGTATCGATGCAAAACATGCGCCAGCAGGCTATTGAGCTCTGCCAGAAACGGGTTATTGAAGACGAAGCAGAGGAGTTTATTGGTGGTTGGGCCTTCCTCACGCCTAGCACGCCGGACACCATCCGCAGTGCCACCTTTGAGGAGGCAGTCTTGCTACTTACCGACTCGGCCCTCTATCTCTGCCGGTTTGACTGGAACCTCGACAAGGTCTCTAGCTTTGAGAGGGTTGACCTGGCGCATGTGACAAAGATTAGATTCGGGACTTATATCACGAGCACCATCTCGCCTGCGCAGGTGGACGAGCTGAGGAACATGGGGTTGGTGATTGAGTACAAGCCTGGGTTGACGGACGTCACGCGTGTCAACACGAGGTCGTTGTCGAGCATGAGTGATCACCCGAAACCGACAAATGACGACTTTGCGAGCGCGGCGCTGTCGGGGGTGGCGGGCTTCTTTTCGGGAAAGAATGTTGCTGCTGCTGCTGCTGCTGCGGTGACGACGCCTACGAGGAAGATTGCGTTGAAGGCGTTGTACAGCCAGACGTCTGCTGCTGTGAGTGGGGAGGGTGGTGCTGGGAAGGTGAAGATTGGGGGGGAGGAGGAGGAGGATGAGGACATTGCGCGGCTTACCGAGACTCAGCAGGTGGTTGTTATCGCGGCCGAGATTGAGAGGTTGGCGCTGTTGAATCAGCCGAGGGAGGTGAAGGGGGAGAAGGAGGAGGGGGAGGGACATTTGATTGAGAAGGGGGATATTATCAGTGTGGCGGAGGCGAAGAAGAACACGGGGTTGCTGGAGACTTTGGGGCACAGGGTTAAGAAGTTGGTTTGGGCTTGATATTTTTTTTCTTTGTTTTTTCTTTTTTTTCTTCTTTTTTTTCTTCTTTTTTTTTCTTTTTTTCTTTTTTTCTTTTCTTTTTTTGTCTTGTTTGTTTTGAGGGAGAGAGTTGTGTCTTTTCAAGCATAGCAGTGCGGGCGGGTTACATGAGCCGTAATGAGAGTAGATAGATAGCAGGCGAACATAGCAACAATGGCAGGGAAGTCAATTAGTGGGTGATTAATAGTATATTCTCTTTTTTTTTTCCTTTTTCACTCTTCATCATCATCACCCTCCTCATCACCACTCTCCTCCTTTTCTGGAGCAGCGGGATCAACAGCCTTGTACAGGTGCATCTGGTACCGCATATTCTCCAGCCCGATAGGGTAGTCCAGCTCCCCCTCTGGCAACCTGAACCAAATCGACTCGTGGCTCTCGAGCTTCTTCCACTTTATCCTCCCCTCGGGCGTTTCTGAAGGCTTGACGTCCGGACAGACTGACGAGAGAATCTTGTCGAGCAACCACGCCATGGGGTATTTCTTGTGAGAGGTTCCCACGGTTGTTTCGGAGTAGGACCCCGGACTGTCGACCACTAGGAGGAGTGAACCTAACGGGATGGCGGAGGAGAGGTTGAGGAGGAAAGAGGTTGTTTTTCCTATGCCGGAGGAGGTGAAGAGTTCGTTGAGGGTGAAGAAGAGGGTTACCAGTTGGGAGGTGTCAGAGGAGAAAAGCTTGTTGAAGGGGGTGGTGAGGGCGTCTTGTTGGAGGAAGGTGTAGGTGAGCTTCTCGGCGGGGATAAAGGGTGGTTGTTGGACGGTGAGTTTGGAGGCGTATTTTGATATTGGGGGGGGGCTCGTGAGGGAGGTTGATAAGTTGGTGAGAACTTCACTCCATGGGGCAGAGTCCAAGAGGGTGAGGCTGCCGGAGGGGGAACCGGGAAGGAGGGTGAGGGCTGAGGCAAAGGCGGCCAGTTCGGCGGAGCAGCCTCCTATGGCGAGGCAGGGGAGGGTCTTGGTGGGTGAGTAGAGTCTGGGGAGGTAGCGGGATAAGGAGGTGAAGATGGATGAGTAGGCCAGAGCTCGTGGGGGTGACCAGCGGGCTGAGTAGATTGGGAGGTTGGAGGGGGTGTTCGTGAAGGCCGTGGCGAAGTCTCGGTCAAAGAGGGATTGCTTGAGGGTTTGCAGGTTCTTGCTGAAGTCGGCATCGGTGAGAGTTTCGTTGAAGGTTCGGGTGAAGATATCGAGGATGAGTTGGTAGTGTGTTAGCTCCGAAGGTGAGATGATGACCTTTTCATTGTTGGGGTTTGGTTTAAGCTTGTGTTGCTCTGGGGTTTGACGTCTTCGCTTTGGTTTTGACGCTGTTTGTTTTGACCGTGCCTTTTGAGGGGCGGTATCCAGCTTTGCTTGGACCATAATGAGATGGGCTCAGGTTGTGAGTGAGTGAGGCAGAGGCTGAATGTTGTGTAATTTCTATTTTGGGAGATGTTGTTGTAAGAGACTTTCTCAGCCTTGCTCTAACACTCAGCCCGGTGGTAGCTGGGGTGTGGGGACGCAGGGTCTAGGCGGGTTTAATGCCTCTATCAGATTTTAGCCTGAATTGGACGGTTCGCGGGATGAGACTTGGTGTTGAGACAGACAGACAGAAACGTGTAAGAACGTACCCCTCCCCCCACCATTGAAGTTTTTAGCTCCAAGTTATCTACGCTTGGACCCTAACCCTTATCGGGATTTACACCTCACCAGACCCTGACACCCTGAGTAAGTCCACCCCCATCAAACGGATGTATTCTGCCGGGCATCACGTAACGCCAAAAGACTCTCGGCATGTAGCAGCAGCAGGATGGCGTGGCAAGCACTATGTGTCTGGTGCTTTGTGCTATGAATAAGTCGTCTCATCATGGCCCAACCAGAGGCAAAGTTGTGGCCAATAACGCTCGCCTCCACCAGCTCATGGGCACAGCAAGCAAAAGATGACCCCGCCGTCCCCACGAAGAGGTGCCTGCATTTGTTTTCCATCCTCGAAGTGAACTGACATTCAGATCGGGCGAACCTCCGATTTCGTTCTTCAGGGGTCTTTCCTTCTGACGGAGATAGGGCCGTTCATAGAAAGCCAGCTGTTCGGCCGGAGAATCAGGAATTCCAAATATCCAAGGCAAAGATAACATTACCGCGGAGCGGAGATTCTGGTTCGCTGAGTGAGCAGCATGGCTTTGTGATATCTTGGTCGTGATTGATCATCTTTCTTGGAGCCACCCAAGCTGGAGAAACGCGGGGCAGCTTTGGAGGGGCAAGCAATGGCCAATGTGCCGCTGTGTTGTTTCATTGCGCTCCCACCTAAGCATTCCCTTAGACAGCCTCTTTTCCCTTGAGGTACAGCTAGGTAAAAGGTATATAGTATGATGAAGTTATTGAGGATATGTATCTTTTTGATGGGGAAGCTAAGAACAAGCCGGAGCTAAGGTAAGCACGCCAGCAACGTCAAAGACTTCTCGACGTCACCAAGCTCCGCCAGCTCCGATGCTAGGCGACTACAGAAAAAAGTTGGGAAAAAAGATCAACGCGGCTGGGGCCAAAAAAAAAATTAGAAAAAAAATTTAAAGGAAAAAAAATAAATAAAAAATAAAAAAAATAAAAGAAAAAAAATAGATAAAAAAATGAAAAAAGAAATAAAAAAAATAAAAAGAGAGACAAAAACTGGCTGGCAGAGACGAGAGAGGTGAGAGATTAGATCCTCGAGGTCCCTGGCCTCCCCCAAAAGGTCCCACAGCTGGCATTCATCCGGGCGAACCAGAGCTCCAGAAGGCACGGGCAGGGGAAGCTCTCCTACCTGGAACTCCCCAGAGGCACAACCCCACTCTGTCGACACACACCACCGTCCCGACCCCCAACGCCCTCCCCTTGCCCCTTGGAGCCCTTGGGTTAAAACACCCCACCAGGAACCTTTCGCTCTCTTCCCACTTCCCTCTTCATATATCCAGTGACTCCCCCCCTCCTCCCCTTTCTCCTCGTAACATCTTCCTATCTTGTCATTGTCTTCAGATTCATCCAGACAAACCGCAAAGATGGGCTTCACCGAGGTTGACACCAAGACCATCAACACGATCCGTGTTCTGGCCGTAAGTGAACGGACCCCTCCATCCCGAAAAGAGTCTCTCAACAGAAAAAAAAAAGGGAACCCCGCCCCCGCCATCGCAATCTTGTTCGCATTCCACCATGTGTCCAATTCGGCGACGGCAACACTGCTGAGAGCGCATTCATCATGGCCAGCCACTCACATTTTCTCTCCTCCAGGCCGATGCGACCGCTCATGCCAACTCCGGTCACCCCGGTGCCCCAATGTAAGCTCCCCGCGACGATGGCGTCAAAAACACGGACTGCCCGATGCCGGCGCAACCAAGGCTTGAGGTTATTGACACCAGTGTAGGGGCATGGCACCAGTTGCCCACGTTCTTTTCAACAAGATCATGAGATTCAACCCCAAGAACCCAAAGTGGCTCAACCGCGACAGATTTGTTCTCTCGTAAGTGCTCCTCTCTCGCTTGAGCCCCCAGCTTACACACAGCTTGCCGCGGGATGAGTGAGCCATGATCTGACCGCATGAACCTACAGTAACGGCCACGGCTGCATGCTCCAATATGCCCTCCTCCACCTTTACGGCTATGCCCTCTCCATTGATGATCTCAAGGCCTTCCGTGTAAGTTGGAGCTTATTTTCTGCCTTCCAGTGTTGGCCAGCATTCTGACAGCCATAACTATAGACCGTCGACAGCATCACCCCCGGTCACCCCGAGGCCCATGACACCCCCGGTGTCGAGGTCACCACTGGCCCTCTCGGCCAAGGTATCAGCAACGCTGTTGGTCTTGCCATGGCCCAGGCCCACACCGCCGCCGTCTTCAACAAGCCCGGCTACGACCTCGTTGACAACTACACATACGCCTTCCTCGGCGACGGCTGCTTGATGGAGGGTGTCTCCTCCGAGGCCTGCTCTCTCGCCGGCCATCTCCAGCTCGGCAACCTCATTGCCGTCTGGGACGACAACCACATCACCATCGACGGCGACACCAACCAGGCTTTCACCGAGGACGTCCTCAAGAGATACGAGTCTTACGGCTGGCATACCATCACCGTCGAGGACGGTGACAACGACCTCGAGGGCATCCTCCACGCCTTCAAGAAGGCCCAGGAGGTCAAGGACAAGCCCACGCTTATCCAGCTCAAGACCATCATCGGTTTCGGCTCCAAGCAGCAGGGCACCCACGGTGTCCACGGTGCTCCCCTCAAGGCTGACGACATCAAGCAGCTCAAGGAGAAGTTCGGCTTCGACCCCGAGAAGAGCTTCGACGTTCCCCAGGAGGTCTATGACCACTGCCGCAAGGCTTCCAACGCCGGCGCCGCCGCCGAGGAGGAGTGGAACAAGCTGTTCGCCAAGTACTCTGAGGAGTACAAGGGTGAGGCCGCCGACCTCGTCCGTCGCCAGAAGGGTGACCTTCCCGAGGGCTGGGAGAAGAACCTCCCCGTCTACACCCCTGCCGACGCCGCCGTTGCTTCCAGAAAGCTCTCCGAGATTGTCATCAACAAGATCTTCGATGCCGTCCCCGAGCTTGTCGGTGGTTCCGCCGATTTGACCGGCTCCAACCTTACCCGCTCCAAGGGCTCGATCGACTTCCAGCCCCCGGCGACCGGCCTCGGCACATACGACGGCCGCTACATCCGTTATGGTGTCCGTGAGCACGGCATGGGCGCCATCATGAACGGTCTCGCTGCCTATGGTACCATCATCCCATACGGCGGTACTTTCCTCAACTTCGTGTCCTATGCCGCCGGTGCCGTCCGTCTCTCCGCCCTGTCCCAGGCCCGCGCCATCTGGGTCGCCACCCACGACTCCATTGGTCTTGGCGAGGATGGTCCCACCCATCAGCCTATCGAGGTCCTCACTCACTTCCGCGCCCTTCCCAACTGCATGGTCTGGCGCCCCGCCGATGGCAACGAGACGTCGGCTGCCTACTACGTCGCTCTCACCTCCAAGCACACCCCCAGCATCATCGCTCTCTCCCGCCAGAACCTTCCCCAGCTGGAGGGCTCCACCATCGAGAAGGCGATCAAGGGTGGCTACGTCCTCCACGAGCAGGAGGGTGCCGACATCACCCTTGTCTCCACCGGTTCCGAGGTCTGCATTGCCATTGACGCCGTCAAGCTCCTCGCCGAGAAGCACAGCATCAAGGCCCGTGTCGTCTCTCTTCCCTGCTTCGAGGTGTTTGACACCCAGCCGAAGGACTACCAGCTCAGCGTTCTCCCCGACGGCATCCCCTCTCTGTCCATTGAGGTCATGTCCACCATGGGCTGGGAGAAGTACACTCACGAGCAGTTCGGCCTGAACCGCTTCGGAGCTTCGGGCCCCTACAAGGACGTCTATGCCAAGTTTGAGTTCACCCCCGAGGGTGTTGCCAAGCGCGCCCTCCAGACCATTGACTTTTGGAAGGGTGTCCCCGTCCGCTCGCCCATCAACCGCGCTTTCCAGCAGATCCTCTAAAGAGGGAGACGAAGGTCGAGAGGGGACGAGGATACAAAAAATCCAATATAAAAAGTTGCAATAATGTAGGTAGACGGTAACCAGGCCTGTCAATTTGGTGATTTTAAAAGGATTGGACCGATGGGAAAACTGTCGGGTGGAAATGCTGTATGGTTGGGTTTTGGTTTTTTGCGGGAATAACTGCGTTTATGAATAGTATAGCATGATGATGGAAGCAATAGACCGCTTATGACGTTAACTCTTGCCTGACTGTCATGTGTGTATGTTTTGGGAGAGATGTTTTAAAGGGGGAGTTGTTGAGACAGAAGAATGGCGTCACCTTTGGATACCCCATGTACCCCTGTACACCTGTGGCTTACTGACAGGGAAGTGTGCATTGGGCGCTATGGGGCCCTCAGGGCACCCCAGCTTACCTGGTAACTGGTTGGCCTTTGTGGCTTGTTGCTTTGATGCCACCTTCGCCCATGCGACTTGCTCCCACCTTGCAACAACTAAGCTCTTTTCACGTCCAACTCTGATGTTTCCTGCCATCTTTTCTTACGTCAAGGACAGTAACCGGTTGAGACATTGAAAAAAACAGCAACAATGGCCGACGAAGAAAAGGAACGAGCTGAGAAGCTCGCCGCGGCCAAGAAGAGGGTTTGTCTTCCCCCCCCCCCCCCCCCCCCGACAGTGCTGCTGCCTCCCCCACCCCCAGGTTCTAATTGTTTCCTGTTGTGGTAT